ACAATAGATAGGTTAGATTAAATTACTTCCGCATTAATTTCACAAGTGATGTTGAGCGACTTAACAAGTCATGCTCTACTATTTTCTCATACAAACTTTCTTATATGAAAAAGACATGTGGATAGTGATATATTAATAGTTATTACTGTTTTCATTTTCTGGGTAAATATACATTCTTCTCATTGGTACTATTACTCTCATTTTGTATTAAATGTATCATTTTTACTTTAATATAGAAAAAAATATGTAAGTTGTTACATAACTTCTTATTCACAATTAAAGAAAACAAAAGTAAAATTTTCCTTTAAGAAATATCAGTCTCCACTTACTAATTCATTAAGGAAAAATTAATGATCCATACATGTATAAATAGATTTAATATTTTTTTTTAATTAACTTGTATCTTTTTGAAAATCAACATTTTTTACAATAGTTCTTTACAATCATTTATCACCCACAATAATTTCAACTTCACACCACATATACATTCTATTATAAAAATATATTAATAGTTTTTATGCATCATATGTAGAAGCAGATACTTTTCCACCATGTCCAGTCCAGTTTGTATGTACAAATTTTCCTTCCTCACCAAGTAATTCATAAGTATGTGCTCCAAAGTAGTCCCGCTGTGCTTGAAGCAAATTTGCTGGAAGTCTAGCAGTTCTGTAGCCATCATAGAATGCTAAAGCAGTTGATAAAGCAGGAGTTGGAATGCCTAGTGTAACAGCTGTAGATACTACTATTCTAGCACTAGCTTGACATTCTTTCATTGCATTAGCAAAGAAATCATCCAACAATAAATTAGAAAGTTTGGGATTTTTGTCAAATGCTATTTTTATATTTCCCAAGAAAGCACTAAAAGTAAAAAAATTATGATAAAATATTTTATAAAATTTATTTAAACAAGATTAAAGTTCAAAAATATATATACCTTCTTATAATACATCCTCCACGCCACATAAGAGCTATACCACCATAATTCAAATTCCAATTATGAACCTTAGCAGCTTCCCTCAGTAACATAAATCCTTGTGCATATGAAATAATTTTGGAAGCATAGAGAGCTTTCTTTAAATGTTCCAACAACTTCTTTTTATCACCTTGATAAACAGTTTCAGGACCTTTCAATATTGAACTTGCTTCTACTCTTTCAGTTTGTAAAGCAGAAAGACATCTAGAAAATACTGATTCTCCAATTAGAGTTACTGGTACTCCATAATCTAATGCAGCAATAGCTGTCCATTTTCCAGTCCCTTTTTGACCAGCTGTATCTCTAATCCGCTCTAATAAATATCCTTTGTCATCTTTATATTTCAAAATATCTCGAGTTATCTCAATTAAAAATGAATCAAGTTCTCCTTTATTCCATTCATCAAGGACCTGACTCATTTCTTTTGGATCAAGTTTTAAACCATTTCGCATAATATGATATGCTTCACAAATAAGTTGCATATCACCATACTCAATACCATTATGTACCATTTTTACAAAATGACCTGCACCTGTTTCTCCAACCCAATCACAACAAGGTTCTCCATTGGCTTTGGCACATATTGACTAAAAAAATATTTCATCATTAATATACTTAACTCATTTATTAGATTAAATTTTTAAATATATCTTTATATTTCAATAAAATACCTGGAAGATCTGTTTAATATGTGGCCATGCTTTTGGATTTCCACCTGGCATCAAAGATGGTCCATATCTAGCACCATCTTCACCACCACTAACTCCACTGCCAACAAATAAAATTCCCTTTTTCTCTAATTCTTTAGTTCTTCTTTCAGTATCTTGATATTCAGAATTACCACCATCAATTATAATATCTCCAGCAGACAATAATGGTACTAGTTGTTCAATAAAAGCATCCACAGCTGCACCAGCTTTAAAAGTAATATGTATATCGTTACATGTGATTGTTATATAAAAAAAGAGATTGAAATATAACTGAATTGAAGTATAACTCAGTTATAATATATAAAGTATTCAATGACATGAAGTAAAAGTAATTAGTAAATAAGTAAATAAGTAAATAGTCCTTTGCAAGGTCACAACTTGTTATATTCATAATCTATAATAGAAATTTACCTTTCACTAAAAGCATTATTCTTTTTGGTGATTTTAATTTGTTCACCATTTCTTTCAGTGAATATGCACCAATGACTTTTGTGCCTTTTGCTTCATTTGCCAAGAAAGATTTAACTTTATCTGTTGTACGGTTGTAGGCACAAACAACAAATCCATGATCATTCATATTAAGAATTAAATTTTGGCCCATGACGGCTAAGCCAATAAGGGCAATATCTGCAACACTATATAACAACATATATTTTTAATAACAACATGTAGTACTTAAA